ATGCTGATGATGGAAGAGGTAGAAAAGGAAGAAAGGAGAGAAGGAAGAGAAGGAAGGAAGAGGTAGAGAAGGAAGAAAGGAGAGAAAGAGGGAGGGAAAGAAAAAGGGGGAAGGAAGGAAAGTTAGAGAAAGAAGGAAGGAGAGACGGAAAGAAAAAAGGGAAAGAAGGAAGGAAAGAGGGAGCGAAGGAAGGGGGAAGATGTAGAGAAAGAGGGAGAGAAAGAAAGAAGGAAAGGGAGAAGGAAGACACAGCAGAAGAGAAAGAAAAAGGGGGAAGGACGGAAAGCGATAGAGAAGGAAGGAAGGAGAGAAGGAAAGACGGGAAGGAAGGAAGGATACAGGGAGTGAAGGAAGGAGGGAAAGAAGGGGAGATAGGGGGAAGGTTGGCCACAGCAACGCGTGGCGGGTACAGCTAGTTCATTATATAGCGACGGCTAAAAACATTGCAAAATTATAGACAAAAAGCAATGCAAAACTATAATGGCTAAAATCATTATGAAACTATAACTCCCAGGAACTAATAGCATTGAGGCATGCCAGCTAAAACTGGGATCAAAACAGCATTCATTCTTCAGCAAAGGCTAAAAACATTGCAAAATTATAGACTAAAAGCAATGAAAAACTATAATGGCTAAAATCATTGTGAAACTATAACTCCCGGGATCCAATAGCATTGAGGCATGGCAGCTAAAACCGGGATCAAACAGCATCCATTCTTCAGCGAAGGCTAAAAACATTGCAAAATTATACACTAAAAGCAATGCAAAACTATAATGGCTAAAATCATTATGAAACTATAACTCCCAGGATCCCTTTCAAAGTTTCCCCAAACTTTTTCTCCCCCTTTTTTTACATTCTCTCCAATCTGAAGTTCAGCTCTGAAATTCCACCAATACTTTTTTAAAGTGGGGAGAGCGGAGCCCCATTGTTTGGGAGGCATCAATGGTTGCAAATTCCATCAGCCAATTCCTCCATGCTCTGCCTGCATTCATTTAGTAGATCCCAAAAAAGAAAAGAGGGAGGGAGGGAGAGGCTGGAGAGAGAATGCAATCCAATAATAAAATAGTAGCCGTCCCCTGCCAGGCGTTGCTGTGGCCCAGTCTGTTGATCTGGAAAATAAAGTAATGAGAAAGTGCTGATTTCTAATATATGTAATTCCTTTATGTTTGTGGGTAAACAGCATTTCTTGCTGTTTCTTTGCCAGTGTTGATGTGGAGAGTGTCTGGTTTGCCCACCCTGGAACATGCAACATATTATTGTCCTTCTTTAAGGTTCCCTTTCAAATCTATGATACTATATCTCTCTGTGTGTGAATCGTATCTATCTATATTTATGGCTGGATGGCTCTTTGTCAGGAGGGCTTTGATTATGTTTTCTTGCCCTGGTGAAGGGAGTTGGACTGGGTCGCCTTAAGTATTTTCTGTTAGTCATGGGGGTTCTGTGTGAGAAGTTTGCCCAATTCTGTCGTTCGTGGGGTTCAGAATGCTCTTTGATTGTAGGTGAACTGTGAATCCCAGTGACTACAACTCCCAAATGTCAAGGTCTATTTCCCCCAAACTCCATCTGTGTTCATATTAGGATGTATTGAGTGCTTGTGCCAAGTTTGGTCCAGATCCATCATTGTTTGAGTCCACAGTGCTCTCTGGATGTAGGTGAACTACAACTCCAAAACTCAAGGTCAATGCCCACCAAACCCTTCTAGTGTTTTCTGTTGGTCATGGGAGTCCTGTGTGCCAAGTTTGGTTGAATTCCATCATTGATAGAGTTCAGAATGCTCTTTGATTGTAGATGAACTATAAATCCCAGCAACTATATCTCTCAAATGTCAAGGACTATTTCCCCCCAATTCCACCAGTGTTCACATTTGGGCATCTTGAGTATTCGTACCAAGTTTGGTCCAGATCCCTCATTGTTTAAGTCCACAGTGCTCTCTGGATGAAGATGAACTACAACTCCAAAACGCAAGTTCAATGCCCACCAAACCCTTTTAGTGTTTTCTGTTGGTCATGGGAGCCCTGTGTGCTAAGTTTGGCCCAATTCCATCATTGGTGGAGTTCAAAATGCTCTTTGATTGTAGGTGAAATATAAATCCTAGCAACTACAACTCCCAAATGTCAAGATTCTATTTCCCCCAAACTCCACCAGTGTTCACATTTGGGCATGTTGAGTATTTGTGTAGAGTTTGGTCCAGATCCATAATTGTTCGAGTCCACCGTGCTCTCTGGATGAAAGTGAACTACAACTCCCAAAGTCAAGGTCAATGCCCACCAAACCTTTCCAGTATTTTCTGTTGGTCATGGGWGCCCTGTGTGCTAAGTTTGGCCCAATTCCATCATTGGTGGAGTTCAGAATGCTCCTTGATTGTAGGTGAACTATAAATCCCAGCAACTACAACTGCCAAATGACAAAATCATAATTTTTTGAGTGGTGGTCACTCCTTGGTGTGTGCCAAGTCTGGTTCAATTCCATCGTTGAGGGAGTTCAGAGTGCTCTTTGATTATAGGYGAACTATAAATCCTAGCAATTACAACTCCCAAATGACAAAATCATAATTTTTTGAGWGGCTTTCACTCCTTGGTGTTATTTTGTTCATTGGTTCTTTTGTTTTTAAGTTACTCATTATGCACAGAGCATTTATATATAGATAGAAGATAAATAAATTATAATTTTATATATTATTATTTTATATACTAATTTATATACAATATATAATTTCTATAGATAAATAAATTATAATTTTATATATATTAATTTATATACAAGATATCATTTATATATTATAAATTAATMATTTACAAAATAATTTATATATTATTTTAATTTATATAGATAGATAAATAAATAAATAAYGTTATATATTTATTTTTAATATATTAATTTATATRCAATATATCATTTATATATTATAAATTAATCATTTATAAAATTATTATTTTATATATTAATATATATATATTCCAAATATTATTTTGAAGCCCCCCCTCCCCATTGCAAAAGGTAGATTTGCCCCAATGCACCACCACCCTCTGCAAAATATCAAGAGTGAGAAAGGATGCATTCCATCCATTGAAAGACCCCCTACTGGTGCTTTCCAATTTGTTCAATGGGGTGGGTTTTTCCCCCCCATCCTCCACCCCCCTCCATCTCTCTCTCTCTCTCCTGCAAGCAACAACTTGAGAAAGGATGAAGGAAGGGGGGGAGAGAGAGGGGGAAAAAGAAAGGAATGAGAAAAGGGCGTTGGGGGAGGAACAAATCCTCCCTCTCTCCCATGTTCTTCCATTTGCAACCCCAAGGCATCCCAGCTCTATTGAATCTCTCTACCTAAAGCTGCAAAAGGAGAAGAGGGGGTGGTGTTGGTGTCAGGTTTCCAATCCAGGAGGAAAAGGACCTTGGGACCGTTTGCCTGGGTGTAAGGGGAAAAGGCGCCAGGTCTTGGAAGGGAGATAAAAAATCACAATAAATTGCAAAAATCCCAAAACGTATTTTCTCTTTTGTTATTGTTGAAAAGTTGCACAAAGTTCAGAAAACACCGTTTTTACTCAAAACAAACGTCCAAATCGAGTCAATTCCGCTTTCTTTTTCACTTTTTCTTTTTCCCCATGAAGCCTGGCACTTTTACTTCCCCATTAGAGTAGACCCATTGGCGTGAATGCATTTACTCCCGTGTAAAGTTAATATTTTGCTCTCAGGGGCGGAAATCGTATTGGGGTTGGTATCGGGACCAAACAGCACTTTCCCAACCCAAACTCTGAAAAAAAAATACGCTCCACTGTGGTGTCTACACGCTGAAATGTATCCCAACCCGCTGTATCAGAAACATAGGGTCCCGATGCACCCATAAGGTCAACTCGAATCTAATGGAAAGTTCACCCAATCCGGCCCGGTCTACTGCCACCTATTTGGGCCCGGTCTACCACAATCGCTTGCTCCCGGTCTACCCACTCTCTCAAGTCTCAAGAAGTCTCTTCAAACTCCCTCCGACCCGAGAGGTCCTCCCTTTCCAATCCGGTCTATCTCCTGCCAAAGGGGGCCGCTGTATCCAAGTCTACCGCTCCCCGGTCTACCCAAGCCGCTTGCTCCCGGTCTACCAATTCTCTCAAGTCCTGGTCTACCCAGTTCAAGGAATCCACCGAAACTTCCTCTGACCGAGAGGAGTCCCCTTTCCAATCTGGTTTATCTCCAGCCAAAGGGGGCCGCTCTATCCAAGCCTGGCGCTCCCCGGTATACCCAAGCCGCTTGCTCCCGGTCTACCCACACTCTCAGTCCCTGGTCTACCCACATCAAGGAGTCTTATCCAAACTCCCTCCAGCCGAGAGGACCTCCCTTTCCAATTCGGTCTATCTCTAGCCAAAAGGAGGCCGCTGTATCCAAGCCTGGTGCTCCCCGGTCTACCCAAGTCGCTTGCTCCTGGTCTACCCTCTCTCCCAAGTCCTGGTCTACCCAGCTCAAGGAGTCTTATCCAAACTCCCTCCAACCGAGAGGACTCCCCTTTCCAATCCGCTCTATCTCCAGCCAAAAGGGGGCCGCTGAATCCAACCCTGGCGCTCCCCTGTCTACCCAAGTCGCTTGCTCCCGGTCTACCCAGCTCAAGGAGTCTATCCAAACTCCCTCCGACCCGAAAGGACCTCCCTTTCTAACCCAGCCAAAGGGGGCCGCTGTATCCAAGCCTGGCGCTTCCCGGTCTACCCAGGCCTCTTGCTCTGGCCAATAGAGGTCCCGGTCTACCAATTCTCTCAAGTCCTGGTCTACCCAGCTCAAGGAGTCTATCCAAACGCCCTCCGACCCGAAAGGACTTCCCTTTCCAACCCAACCAAAGGGGGCCGCTGTATCCAAGCCTGGCGCTTCCCGGTCTACCCAGGCCGCTTGCTTTGTCCACGGAGCCTCCCGGTCTACCCACTCTATCGTGTTTTGGAAGTTCCCGGTCTACCCAAGTTCTTCCTCCCCTCCTTCCCTCCCTCCATGGGGCCCGCTCTCCCTCACCCTTCTCTCTCCCTCCTTACCATTGATCTCGTGGCTGGGCGCCTCGTTCTGGCTGAAGCCTTTGGCCACGTAGAGACGCTTGACTTCGGAGCAACTTCGCGAGCGGGGCTCGGCGGAGGAGAAGGAGGCTCCGAGGAGGAAGAGGAGAAGGAGAGAAAGGAGCGACGGGCTCCGGGCGAGGAAGCCCGGGCGGGCGGGCATGCTTGGCGCGGCGGCGGGGAGGGGGCCCTCGTTCGCGGGGCTCTTGCTCGCGGTCCGCGGAGGAGGGACGAAGGGAGGGAGGGCGCCCCCAGCCCGGTCGAGGCGCTGCCCCCCGCCGGCTCCTTTTTTTCCCCCTCGCCTTGCCTTCGAAGTCGGGCTCGGCGACGGAGACTTGGCAGCCCCCGGGAAAAGGCAGAGGCAGCCCGGCCGGGGAAGGAGGGAGGGAGGCAGGCGGAGGCGGAGCCCAGCGGGAGGAGCCCCGCAGCCTTCCCCGCCTTCGGAGCCGCCTCCCCCGGACTCCCGCCCCCGTAGGGAGGCCCCCTCTGGACACGCGTCTTGCGTGTCACGCCGTTCACACGTGATTGTGGCTATTTTTTTGCGATTTCTCGCTTTTTCCCCCATTTGTTAGAAACGGGGCGTGGAGGTCAGAAGACAAAGCTCTTTCCCGACCTCTCCTTCGGCTTCTCTTGACACGCATCTTGCGTGTTACTCCGTTCACACGTGATTATGCAATTTTTTGCGATTTCCCGCTTTTTCTCTGTTTGTTTGAAACGGGGCATGGAGGTCAGAAGACAAAGTTCTTTCCCGACCTCTCCTTCGGCTTCTCTTGACACGCATCTTGCGTGTTACTCCGTTCACACGTGATAATGGCTATTTTTTTGCGATTTCTCGCTTTTTCCCCCTTTTTTTGAAACTGCGCGTGGAGGTCAGAGGACAAAGCTCTTTCCCGACCTCTCCTTCGGCTTCTCTTGACACGCATCTTGCGTGTTACTCTGTTCACACGTGATTATGCAAAAAAAATTGCGATTTCTCGCTTTTCCCCCGTTTGTTTGAAACGAGGCGTGGAGGTCAGAAGACAAAGCTCTTTCCCGACCTCTCCTTCGGCTTCTCTTGACACGCATCTTGCGTGTTACTTCGTTCACACGTGATTATGACTATTTTTTGCGATTTCTCGCTTTTTCTCCGTTTGTTTGAAAGGGGGCGTGGAGATCAGAAGACAAAGCTCTTTCCCGACCTCACCTTCGGCTTCTCTTGACACGCATCTTGCGTGTTACTCCGTTCACACGTGATTGTGGCTATTTTTGATATTTCTAGTTTGAAACGGGGCGTGGAGGTCAGAAGACAAAGGAACCCTTTCCCGACTTCCTTTTCCACTTCACTCGACACACGTTTTGCGTGTCACGCTGTTCACACGTGATTTTTACTAATTTTTCATCCCTCTGCTGTTTTTCGCCTATAGCTCGTGGAGGTCAGACAAATAGACCATTCCCCGCTTTTCCCAACACGCGTGTCACGGCGTTTACATGTGATTCTTGCGACTCGTTTCCCTCAAATCTCGTATGTTTCCGAAATGTGTTTTGGATATAGTCCCCTCTTCCCCCAACTTTTCTTGGCTCCAGCATTCACACGTGACTGTTTTTCTTTTTGCCAGAAAACACTGTGAATCCACTCTGGACCAAACTAGGCACGCATACCCAGAATGGCCCGCCTGAAATACTAGCAGTTTCATAGACTTGTCAGCAGCTTATGATACTGTAAACCACCGCCTCCTCCTGAGAAAAATGTATAACATCACAAAGGACGACCACCTCACCCGCCTCATAGGAAACCTGCTACAAAACAGGAGCTTTTTTGTTGAGTTCCAGGGCCAGAGAAGCAGATGGCGGAAACAGAAGAACAGCCTGCTTCAGGGGAGCGTGCTTGCTCCATCCATGTTCAACATCTACACAAATGACCAGCCACTGCCAGAAGGGACAGAGAGCTTCATCTATGCTGATGATCGTGCCATTCTCTCAAGCAGGGAGCTTTGAGATGGTTGAACAGAAGCTCTCCGAAGCTCTAGGTGCTCTTACTGCCTATTACAGGGAAAACCAGCTGATCCCTAACCATCTAAAACACAGACATGCGCCTTTCACCTTAAGAACAGACAACCATCCCGAGCTCTGAGGATCACCTGGGAAGGAATCCCACTGGAGCATTGCAGCGCACCCAAATACCTGGGAGTCACTCTGGACCGTGCTCTGACCTACAAGAAGCACTGCCTGAATATCAAGCAAAAAGTGGGCGCTAGAAACAATATCATACAAAAGCTGACTGGCACAACCTGGGGATCACAACCAGACACAGTGAAGACATCTGCCCTTGCGCTATGCTGAGTATGCATGCCCAGTGTGGAACACATCTCACCACGCTAAAACAGTGGATGTGGCTCTTAATGAGATATGCCGCATTATCACGGGGTGTCTGCGCCCTACACCACTGGAGAAATTACACTGCTTAGCCGGTATTGCACCACCTGACATCCGCCGGGAAGTAGCAGCCAATAGTGAAAGGACCAAGGCAGTGACATCTCGAGCTCATCCCTTCTTTGGGTATCAGCCAGCACATCAACGACTTAAATCAAGAAATAGTTTTCTAAGATCTAAAGACACTCACTGGAACACCTCAGCAAGCGAGAGTCCAAAAGTGGCAGGCTCAAACTCAGAACCTCAATCCATGGCTATTTATTTATTTATCGTGTCAGTGCAACCAGTCAATTATATTACATTTCTAACAGAACACAGCAAAAAAACAGACAAAATACAAAATTTGTGAGTTTGGTAGTTGATCAAATGTCCTTTGGCCAGTATCTGGCTACTTGGAGTGCTTATTTATTATTTATTTATTTACTTTGCTTATATACCGCTGTATCTCAAGCCCGAAGGCGACTCACAGCGGTTCACAAACAGTAAAAACAGTAGAAACAGCAGTGGTTCCATACAACATATAACAATTGACTTAACACATTATCCATAAATTACCAATAAGCAAGTACAATGCACAATTATTACAAAAAACAACCGTACCCAATCTTCTCATCATCCAAGCGTAGTCCAGGTTCGTCGTCCATTGTTCCATTCCTATGTTCCATTACCAGATTGCACTAAATTACTCAAACGCCTGCACAACATCCAGGTCTTCAACTTTCTTCGGAATGCTATGAGCTTTGAAATGGTTGAACAGAAGCTCTCCGAAGCTCTAGGTGCCCTTACCAGCTACTGCAGGGAAAACCAGCTGATCCCTAATCCATCTAAAACACAGACATGTGCTTTTCATCTCAAGAACAGACAACCATCCCGAGCTCTGAGGATTACCTGGGAGGAATCCCACTGGAGCATTGCAGCACCCCGAAATACCTGGGAGTTACTCTGGACCGTGCCCTGACCTACAAGAAGCACTGCCTGAATATCAAGCAAAAAGTGGGCGCTAGAAAGAAATAGTTTTCTAAGATCTAAAGACACTCACTGGAACACCTCAGCAAGCGAGAGTCCAAAAGTGGCAGGCTCAAACTCAGAACCTCAATCCATGGCTATTTATTTATTTATCGTGTCAGTGCAACCAGTCAATTATATTACATTTCTAACAGAACACAGCAAAAAAACAGACAAAATACAAAATTTGTGAGTTTGGTAGTTGATTAAATGTCCTTTGACCAGTATCTGGCTACTTGATATTATATTATTTATTTATTTACTTTGCTTATATACCGCTGTATCTCAAGCCCGAAGGCGACTCACAGCGGTTCACAAACAGTAAAAACAGTAGAAAACAGCAGTGGTTCCATACAACATATAACAATTGACTTAACACATTATCCATAAATTACCAATAACCGCTGTATCTCAAGCCCGAAGGCGCCAGCCTAATGTCTGTAGGAAGGGCATTCCACAGCTGAGGAGCCACCACCGAGAAGGCCCTATCTCTCGTCCCCGCCAACCTCAACCCCGCCAATCAATATCTCTCACTTGGTATCAGCCATTGGTTGAGGTTCTGGGTTTGAGCCTGCCACTTTTGGACTCTCGCTTGCTGAGGTGTTCCAGCGACCAGCAATCCATGGCTGATACCAAATGAGAGACTCCCCCCTGGGCACACAGAAAACTGGGCAACTTGGAAGGCACTGAACAGACTGCAGAGCCAACCTTAAGAAATGGGGCCACAAAGTGGAATCCACAACATGCGAGTGTGGAGAAGAGCAAACCACTGACCACCTGCTGCAATGCACCCTGAGCCCTGCCACATGCACAATGGAGGACCTTCTTGCGGCAACACCAGAGGCACTCCAAGTGGCCAGATACTGGTCAAAGGACATTTAATCAACTACAAAACTTGCAAACTTTGTGTTTTGTCTGTCTGTTTGTTTGTTTGTTTGTTTTGTTTAAAAAGTTATACAACTGTCTGGTTGCTCCTGACACAATAAATAAATAACTAAACAGGATCCCAACTAGCCATTGCCCTTCCAAAAGGTCCACTCCTGGAAAACATGGATTTTTCCGAGAAAGGGTGCATCAGTCTAGTACACTCTTAAGCCAGGTATGTGTTCAAACAACAGGAGGTCAAGGCGAGCAACGGTGTGGCAAAACGCAATAAAAGCCCCTATTAACAAGAACAACAGGAACAAGGGCCAAATCCTTCTCGAAACAATGCAGACCCATTTCAGGCTCATTGCAACCCAAGGGAGGTAAATGCCTAGGTGTTTCGATAAGGAGAGAAATAAACAAAAGGTTAATTATTACACCCGGATGGCGAAATGGGACTTCTTGAAGCCACCAAACGGGCAGCGGGCGTGTTTGCAGATCTCCAGGGATCTGAAGGTGGAGGATCACCTTGTTAATTGTGGAGTTTGAAAGGTGTAAAAGCAGGGATGTTAGTATTCCTGGCCTTAAGGCAGTGAGTCTCAATGTTCCTAATGCCGGGACGCCTTAATACAGTTCCTCATGTTTTGGTGGCCCCCAAACATACAATTATTTTCGTTGCTATGTCATAACTGTAATTTTGTTCCTTTTATGAATCACAATGTAAATATCCAATATGCAGGTTGCATTTTAATTCACTGGGCCAAATTTGGCACAAATACCCGATACGGCCAAATTTTCATACTGCTGGGGTTGATTTTGTCATTTGGGAGTTGTAGTTATAGTTCGCCTCCAATCAAAGAGCATTCTGAACTCCACCAATGATGGAATTGAACCAAACTTGGCACACAGAACTTCCATGACTAACAGAAAATACTGGAATGCCTTTAGACCATGGCCATACAGCCCGAAAAAACCTACAACAACCCAATACTGGAAGGGTTTGGGGAAAATAGACCTTGACATTTGTGAGTTGTAGTTGCTGGGATTTATAGTTCACCTCCAATTAAAGAGCATTCTGAACTCCACCAATGATGGAATTGAACCAAATTTGGC